TGCTTTGCAGATAGAGCAAAAGATGAAGCTGAAGCTTAGTTTTTCCTTTTAGTTGTTGATGGTCCTTGTTTACTTTTATAGCACTTTCTATTCTCGTTTGATCGATGTATTTTTTATGTTCCTTCAGTATTTCAGTTGGATTATTTTGTATCAGGGCATGTTTGGCCCGAATATTATGTCAGTGATAATATTTCAGCTGTGATATGTATTATTTTGTTCTGAGTTGTTTATTATATTCTCGCTACTGTGATTGGGGACATGTGCCTTCGCTTTATTTGCTTAACGTTTAGCGTATTAGATTGAGTAGAAATGGTCTAGAACTTATTTTTCCTCAGTCTAATACGTCGCGGGCTTGTTCACGTTCTAATTCCCCGGTATTTTGGGAAACGGGACGTGACACTGTGGTTGTGGAAGCCGGCTGAGAATTTTGTCCGTAAGGACGGCAAATTGCTCTCTGAAAGACTAAGAGAGCTTTTGAGCTGTTGTTTCAAGCTGAGCTTGAGTAGCTTAGCTCTGATAGGGTTCTCCAGGGCGAAACTGCTCGACCTTATCTTCAGAATAAGACATGTTCTCTTAAAAAAGAAAGAGGGCCCCACAGTGGGCGTCAAACTATTGATGTTGCTAGAGTCCAAACAGCTAAATAGCATCTACGGTAGGACGAGATGATAATGATGGGTGGAACTGATTTCTTCCCCGGCTGTCCGGCTCAGAGTTGGGGGAGTTGCTCAGCCTGCACAGGGAAAGACTCGTGAGAGGACGGGGCTCGGATCCCCCGTGGTACCTCCGACGATCAAGTCAACTAGTGAACTTGAGTGGGGTCAATAAGAATTGCGAGAGTTCTTATGTGCAGTAAGATGCAAAGGAATTTGTGGAGAATCCCCAGAGTCTGATGTTGGACTGAAATCAGATGTAAGTTGAGGGTCCGGATTCAGAGATCTGATCCTCCTCTAAGTTAGAATAGTATCTCTATTTATCCTTGTGGGTATGAGGGGTAGAATCATCATTCCGGCCGAGTACAGAATTATTAGACCCTAGAGGGGGGTGATTACGGTCTTATGCTAATCTAATCCGATTTTATGCTAATTAAAACTAATTAATAAGTTATCCTAGCAAGTATAAAATACAACAAGATATGTGAGCTAGGATAAGGGATATACACAAGGGTAAACAAAATAAACAAGATAGTGGATAATATAAATAATGAGCAATGGACAATGGTGATAAGAAACATAAACATAAGAGTAAGTGTGCCAAAGCAAACTCAAACACACGATATGATCACGGAGTTCGGACCTTCCGTCCCACGTCTCCGCTCCCCACTCCCGGGGAAAAATTTACTATCACAACCGGGTTTTCTACGCTTACTCGAATAACGTTTACACCTCATAATGTCGGTTTTTAACGCTCACCGATCAATGTTCACACTTCACACTCTCACTCGGTTTTCTAGCTCACCGAAAACTTTACAACAACACACTCGGTTTTCTAGCTTACCAAAAACCTTACAATCTCACAATATAACAAATTATTTGTTCTCTGTAATACATGAGAACTCAATGTAAACTCACACTCAAAGTTACAACACTCACCAAGCCAAATATACTATGTATGAATACAATAAGCTCAATGTGGGTGTGTGTAATAATAAGTTATCAAATCTAAACTTAATATAAAAACTAGCTTTAAAGAATGATAATCAAAACAAATATGCAAATGTAAAGCTAGATATGAGTTTAGAAATTTTTCTCTGAAAAAACAAGATGGAGAGATAGATTAGGATGAAGCTCAATCAATGTAGATGACATCCTCCACTTGTAAAACAAACTTCACAAACCAAACAAACTTTAAACCAAACTTAAACTCTTGTTAAAAACTCTTTTAAACTTGTTTTAAAATATTTCATTAGCTACCCTGGTAGAGAGGGGTTTGAGGGTTTATATAGGAAGAGAAACCAACAGCAAAAACCTCAATCAAAAGACCAAACAGCCCACAGAATCAGAAATCGGATTCTGTACAAATAGAGCCGTTGGGCGATCGGCGGTCGACCATGGGAAACT